CATTTCTTTGCACATATCAGCTGCAACTGTGGAAGACTGAGTTGCTGAATATGTTTATATTCATAGAGAAGATCGGAAGTCGATAAGACGATGTTTATCGTTATCATAATAAATTATGTCACATAAGAACATGCTTAGGACTTAACTAGACTTATTGCAGTGTAGTCTGTGAAAAGTGGAATAAAAATCATTGAAACCCACTGCTGTGAAAACAATGGACAGCCTTGCAGAGTTAAAATGGACAGCACACATGCAGCTTTAATGATATCAGAAGACCATACACAACAGTGACAGTAAAGAACAGCATTTAAACACAATAGAAGCAGTTATTAATATTTACTTCTTGCTTACCTACCAAGATGATAATCCAGTTTGCTTTCGATTTTGCAAATCATACACATTTCCATAATATAAATATATATATAATTAACAATACTTAAAAAAAAGTCTCGTACCCATATTAAAGAACATTAGCAATTTGGGGATAAACGATTATGATGATCAGTAGAATGGGATTGAATTATGCACAAGAAGTGAATATCCATGATTCTCTTCTTAAAATGAAAAAAATCAATATAGTATTGTAGGCCAGTGTCGATATCTTGTATTATTTCTGTGTCTATCTGACGATGCCAAAGTATAAACATTTATAAAATGTAACTGGGACTTTGCAGACATTTCAGCATGTAGCATACTAAATGCTCTTCCAAAATACAATAGACAGAGCATAAAATATTGGTCTGAAATATCATTCTAAACATCTGTCAAATGCCATTTTTTCAAAGCAAATATCTGCCGACCCTGTAATGCATCCCCACTAAAAAGCCTTTATTATAACGTGGCTATTCAAAGGCGTTTCAATTCTAAGAAGAGCATCATGGATAATCACTTTTTGTGCATGTTTATATCCATGATGGTACGGCATTATCGTGATAATGATATAATCATGAAAATCAGAAAGATGCTGAATGGAGCAGACTCAGCACCATCTCCGTAATGACAGCTGCACATAAGGAATGCAGAAGATTACTGCTGCTCGAGATGCTGTGGTTTTAAATGTTGCATTATCACGAGGATTAGTGAAAGCAAGATGTGACGGATGAGCAGAGAGGGAAAATAGGAAACTAGGAGACAGGGCTCAGCGCAGAGAATTATAGGCCCGTGCATGTTTAGAGGAGTGTGCTGTTCGTTAAATAAGGCTACACTCTTTCAATATTTTATACAGATCAATGCTGCCCCACAAAGACTTGTGAGGAAACAGCCCTGCTGGGCCTCCAATCATCCATTCTTTATGTCAAGTTTGTCAGGCTCTGTAAACTAGGACAAAGTTGAGGTAGATATGGACATAGCACTGACAGCTTCATGGCCCATTAAAGTCTAAAGGAAATGCAGGTCAACAGGTGCTTGCAGACTTCTCCAAGCTCCCTGGCCTGCTATTCTGGAACATTTTGGATAAATTATCATATAACAATGGTATGTGATGTTAAAATGTGTCCTTAACCTTTAGACACTAAAGTGTTGCACTGTCGTTTTGCTGTACTGTTTAAATGCAATTATATAATTCTAGAAATGATTTTTATAGTTACATAAACAAAAGCATTTGCATTCAACTTACGTTCAGCATCGACTTCATAAGATTCAAATAAAAATGCACAATATGGCCACAAGTATGTGGACAAACTCCCTTAATTGTTAAGTTCAGGTGTTTCAGCCATACCTATTGCTGACAGGTGTATAAAATCAAGCACATAGACATGCAATCTCCAAAGATGAACATTACCAATAGAATGAATCATACTGAAGAGCTCAGTGACTTTATATATGGTGCTGTCATAGGATGCTACCTTTGCCACTAGTGAAATTTTTGCCCTGCTAGATGTGCCCTAGTCAACTGTAAGTGCTATTGTTGTGAAATCCTGTGTGAATCCATTTTAAATCCATTTCCACTTCCACTTCATAACATTGAGTTTCTTAACAAATTATGACATCTGTTCATAAAACATTGTGAAATGATTAAGCATGTTATGATATTTGACTTTATAGCTTAGTGTATTTTTGGTATATCAAAGATATAAGGGGGATTTTATGACATAACAAGTGAGGCTCGTTGCGAAATTGAACATATAATGCATTTTGAAACCTTCATGAAGTCATATACTCTTGCTTTATAATATGTTATGCGTGTGTTTATAACTACTAAGGAGCAATTATACAGGCATTGGCCGGGTATTGTGTAAACATTGTGTATTCGTAATGTATTAAGAATATGCAATTCATAGAAAGTGTTACATATAATATGTCCACATCTTATCAAATCTGTACTAAGGCAGAATATGTTTGCTTGTCTCTATGAGCTCAGTTGTGAGAAGTAATTATCATAAAATTGCATCACACTTTTGTTTATCATATCCACATATAAAGTCGTATGCAAAATTTTGGTCACCCCTGGTCAAATTACATGTATTGTTGATTTTCTAAGTGAAAATACGTTGACACATCTGCTAATTTGCCAAAATTACCATATTGAGGAAAAAAACAATAATGTAATGTAGCCTCTGCAATTGTTATGGCATATTTCATGTTTTTTTGGTGTCAAACTCAGCAAATAAATAGAGACTGTGCAGTAAAAATTCATATTATGTCATATTATGTTTGTTCCCAGTAGGATGTGTTAACATATTTTCACATAGAAAATCATCAAAAATATGAAGTTTGACTCGCGGGTGTTCAGATTTTTGCATACAATGTAAGTGCTAAATTAATAAATTAATATATACTTATGTTTTACTCATTTTATTTTATTTGTTTTCATGGTTTTCCACTTTTTTCCTTAAGTAGATTAATTCTCTGTATTTCGTCAATCATTACACAAAGTTTTCTTTGTAGATATTGTCAAAGCTTGGCGTAACCAAAAACAAATTGGCCTTGTACAGCACTGGCAGAGATGCATGATGGGTAAATTGATGAAGTGAACCCTGGGTCGCGGAGGATAATGGATTGGAGGGAAGGTTCCAGGCAAGAGCAAAGGGTTGATGACTAGGTCTTTTCCATTAACTTGGGGTGCTGTACAGGGTGAGATCGTGAATGGGGGTTAACTCTCCTCCCAGCCGCCCCATTCTTACGTCTGTGTGTGTGACACAGGGTCCGGTACCCCATCAACCTGTGTGCTTGTGTGCCGTCAAATCTCAACTCAATAAAAGCTAAGCAAAGAAAAGCAAGGAAAGCAAAGTTGCCAGACTGTCTTTGCAATTCGTTTGATCTCCAATTGGGTATGTGAATGGCTTATGCAGTTCTCGTTCGTTTGCCTACAACGCGTTTTTTTATTGACCCTCTTTTTCACTTATTCCATCTTATGTGCCAATGTTATGCTGTGTTAAATAGTTTGCCTAGTTGGTAGCTGTCAGTGTCACAGAATAAAGTCAGATAAACTACTTGAGTGTGTTCCATTGCAGCTCTGTGCGAGTTTAACAAGGTCTGAGAGAGTGGGTGAACTGGAACAAATGATGCATTACGATCTGAGCTGAATGTGACCTCTGGAAGAGTTTCTAAACAGCAGAAGAAGATGCTGTTTGACGATCAGCTCAGCAGCGATATTTTTTTTTTTTGTTTTTCCTTAATAAATTGTATTAAATACAGTTTTTATGTGTACACTAAATTCAGCTCATAACTCACTATGGAAGCACTTTGCCTTCTTATTTGTTCTGGCCTTATTTCGAACCACAGCAACTGTATAATTCATCACTGTTCTGAGTCTGGCATGATAACCTCCAAGAAGTCACGAATAACACTGACTGAATTGCAGCTATGCTGTTGCACAGTTCTATTGATCAGTGTTTGTGCAGCCTCCTGGAGAATATTTACACCTGACACAGCATATTAATAACGTGAGAAGGACATGAGAAGTAGAGGGGGTAGAATCCTTTGAGACTTAACCCCTTAAAAGGCCAGGACTCACTGGCAGGTCCAAAGTTCTGCTACACACTTCTATAACCTAATAATAACTGAATAATAAGCCTTAGTTTGTAAAAAGCCTGGGATTTTAAGGGGTTAAAAGATTGCAAATACTACAATTATTTGATATTTGATATTTACAAATAGTACAAAATTATCTAAATGATCCTAAAGATATTTCACATGAAAATTAGATTTTAAAAAGCACCCTACATCATAATTCTAAATATATCCTAATGTGGTTAAAAGCTAGAAAAGCACAACTTCTCCAGATCAGGAAGTGGGTGTTTCAGACCACGTTGTGAGAATTTTAACTCAAGCAAGCTTTTATTTTCTGGCAGAAGCTGTCTGGGCTTTGAATCTGTGAGATACAGTGAACAGTGAAAGCTAACAACCGTTTACAATTATGGCCAAACAATTTTGTAATAAATGTGACAGACCTAACAGAAATTCAGCCTTATACTAATATTACTGCATTAACATGTAGTAACATTACTACTATACTGTGGTGAGGAAGCTGTGATATGTGATAGATTATTCAAGCAATGTTGACCCTTGTTGTGTAAGTTAGACTGTGAAGTGAATTATGTATGAAAAACTTTGTTTCATTTTTATTCACTTTCACACTCAAAATTGTTGGTTAGTCACATGGTCAGTTAATCACAACTGAAGAGACTTTGTTTTGTGTCTGGCCTGAGCAGAATGTGGCAAAAAGTGGTCCCGAAATATTGTCCTTAATTCAGATTAAATAGTCTTGCCCAAATCAAATCCAGCAGAGTAAACACAAAAGTGTCAGTCTCTCAATCTAAATGACCAACGCTGTTCTTTATTCGCCGGTAGTTCAATAGTAAGTTCATGCAAGACGCTATAGCCGAAAACATACACAGAACAACAAGATAAAATTCACAGCATCTTCAACAGGAAGAGGCTTGACATTCCCTGTTTTTGGTCAGTAGGTTTTGAATTCAAAGTGTTTCAGAGTGCATGTGGCTGCTGCTACCGGCATTATTGGACTGGTTAACACCTTGCTCTCTGTTCTTTTCTTCCAGGCTGCAGGGCTTTCTCCTGGGGAGAACCAGACACCTGGCCTCCTCCTGGCTCCCGGGGTGAGATGGGGCCAGACGCCCATCAACCAGTCCACACCATGGGACACGGACGAACCTCCAGCAAAACAGCACAGAGAGAGCGACACCACGGGTATGCTGTCCTCACCTCATTTGTTCTACCTTTCTCTGCGCCAGTCTTGGCAGGCAGCATTATACTGAGCAAAAATAACAACCCAACTTTATATTGGACAAAAGGGCAAGCTGACTAAAGTCATGGTCAATTTAAGATTTAAATACTGTTAAAGATATTACAGATAGTAACCAAGGAGAGTGAGAGTTAAACATTGAAGGCTTCAGATATCCTCCTCAAGAAATGAACTGGCGCTTGCTGCCCTTGAGCTGTCAATTTTCTCTCATTATTCTGGAAACCTTCATCCGTTAGCGTGCTAAATCATTCAAGAATCAGTGAAAGAACTCTTGAACCATGTGAGAAGGAATCTAAAACGGTCGCATGTAACACATAGATTCGTTTTGATATCCGCCCAGCTGGTGTTAAATTTGACACACTGTGTAACAGAGTTTGTAAAATATTAATGAGAATAATTATTCATTTATTTATTATAAAATACTCCATACAACCCAAACCAGTGACACTGTCAAACAGAATCCCTTTAAATGATAGTTAGTGAAACCATACCATTTTATAAGGATATGTAGAAGCTGGGGAGGTTGTTGGGGAGTGTTTTTGATCTTTAAAGAATTGGGTGATGTGCCTTTTGTATGGCCATTGTGTATTTGGGGCAGGTCAGTGGTCCATATGTTGCCCCCCGGGGTTGTCCATGCTCCCCTACTAGTTTGTGTGATTGTGGACTGAGTGAATCACAAAAGGAGGTCTTGCTAACATTGTGTTACACGCTTCAGCACCTCACTTCTAGCACCATGGCTGAGACACAAGCGCCATGGCAGCCGTCTCCTGCCACATTCTGCCCAACCCTGGCACCGATGTAGCGCCGAGATACAAGCGCCATTAGCTCCGAAACCAGCTCCACTTAATTGAACAGAACTACATGGATTCTGCTAACAGCTCTGCTGGAATTAATTAGTGACAACTGCAAAGAAATACTGAAGAAGTTCTTTTTTTCCCTCCTAACCTGGACTGTTTCTTTTTTCTCATCACAATACTTTTACCTTATTTGGAATTCAATTAGATGTTGATTGAGGAATCGGAAAAGATTGAAACAGAATTCTTTAAAAGTGAGAAGGAGCCCTTACGAAACAACTGATATTTCATCCCTGCACATTTTAATTATAGGGTACAAGAGAGCAATCAAGACTGGGATCCATTTCATGTTAATGCAATTACTTTTCGCTTCTAAAACCTTTCATTAGCTTTGCAGCCGAAGACTGCAAATATGACTGCATGTTGGGCAGTGCTAATGAGTTCGGGCTTTTGGATTTAATTATGCTGCAGAACAGTACAGGAAATCTCTAATACCCCTTACAAAGAATGGAGGTGTGGGTGATCTCACGTGCATATTCTAGTAATATATGATTGTATCCTGGCTTTTTTTTTCCTTTTTTTTGTGCTATGTCCAGCGCCACTTGCTACTTTATTCATTATTAAGGATGCTGGGTGGACTTGGGAAAGAGGCATTCTATGCTTTGTGTTACGATTAGCTGTAAGATTCTTCTGAATAATGCAGATAAATGCCAGTGCAGGCTGGAGTAGATCATCTATTCCCACTAGCATCTTTCCTGCTATTCACTGTACAGTGCAAAGAGGGCCAATGTCATGAATAATGTTTTTTAATCTTCTTTTTTTTTCCCGCCTGGTAGAGCGTACCCCATAGACCTTCTTGAGCTATGTGCTATTTTTATTCCTCTTCCGGAGGAAGGAGGGCACAGGTCCAACATGGCTGCATATTCATGAGATTAATCTGGCCTGTTTTGGTTGTGGGTAAGCCTTCCCATAAGCCAGCCACCTCTCTGGTTCTGATCCACGGGCCTGTGGCACCCAGGACGAATTGACTGCTGTGGCTCCGATTAGCTCCTATCACGCTGAACATATTTTGGGTTATGGAGGAAAGTTTTTGACACTGAGTGCTTCGTTATAGGCTTCTCACCTAGTGCTGATATTCAATGATGCATGAATTAATTAGTGACTTCATTAGCTAATGCATTTCTCATGGGAAGAGCCACTTCTAATCCTATGGAAATAAATGTGGTGTAGTAGTGTAAATGCTAAAATAAGATGAATTAGTTGATTTTTAAAGGTTTTTTTTAGAAGGTAAGTGCGAACAGTGTGTTACTGTGACTAATGTCTACAGCCAAATTCTAACAAGTTCTTCTTCAGTGCACAGACTAACTGTTATGTGCTGTGTGTTCAAGATGATGCAGAGGGTGGGGACAATCATACAGCCTGCAGGCTAGGACTGGCTCATTTCTGGTTCTGGATAGGCCCACCAGATGAATTTAGAATCTGTGTTCTAAATTAAAATCATCTTTTGGACTGTTTTTGCTGAACAGTGACTGATATGACACTCAACCCCTCACTGCTTAGCACCCGTCTCTAAGCAGCACTAAGCAAAACTCACTGGAACAAACCTGGAATGAGAATGGAGATGGCGCTAAAAGAAGCTAATAGAGGCAAAAAGCTGTTCTAATTATCTGATGGGTGGTGCTGTTTTTATTTTATTCCTGAAGGTGAAACAGCCTTAGATTAATCTGTGTACAAGAGAACACTTACAGCTAAAAAAAACAGCTCATAGGTATGCTAACCTTCTGGGTTGCTGTATTTGCAAACATCAGTTTTAATAGGATGTCTGACGTCACAGAACAACGTTAAAATCAGATAGCTTGTTAAGTTAAGCTGCTGACATTACTAACATCTTAATAATGTATCAGATTAAAATGGACCGTACAGTCCTCACATTTGCAATTAAAATATTCTTCAGTTAAAAGATAACACACTTGTATGCATGCAGTTCTTTGCACACTTTAGTAAAAGACGAAAACTTACTTTAGTCTGACTGTCTACTCAGTTTTTTAGGTGACATTTGTGCGTTCATAACCACTTTTGTGAGAAGTTGTAGATGTCTTATTGGCCTATTAAAATGATTTTTTTTTTTGGTCCGGCAGACTTAACATTGGAGTTTAATGTGGCCCATTACCTAAATTGTGTTTGACACCCCTGCATTACACCCTGCTTTCATATACTTGCACTGATTTATTAGTGCAAACTTTAGTTCACTCAGTCCTAACAACTACTAGCAAGCCCTTCTGTTGGTATATGCAACACTATTATGGTGAAAATTCTGTTACCTGATCATAATCAGGAATCTGTCAGAAGACAAATATGGAGATTTTCTAATCAAAAAAACGTACAGGTGCCTGCCAAGAAACACCATATGTCGAATAATATGCTCTCCACAATCCTAAAAATAAAGGTTCCTAAATGGTTCTTGGCTTAGATACAGTGTTCTGGAAAGCGCTCTATTTGGTTCACAACTTTTATTTTATGTGAACTTTGTGAAGGTTTTTCATGCTCACATTTTTAAAAAAGAACCATCCATTGAAAATTTCTGCAGGGATTGAAAAAAGTGGTTCTTCACTCCAAAAAAAACCTCTTTAACTACTTTATTGACTACATTGTTTTCTGTTTCCTTTGTCAGGGCCTCCATGGGTGCCTCCAGTGGTTGCAGTCAGTCAGCCCAGCCTGTTAGCTCACTCCTATGGGATGCCACAGCCCCCTGCCTATAGCCAGGGAGTTTCTGTCCAATCGCCGGTCATAGGTGTGACCCCAGCTATTCAGACCCCAGTGCCCCCCCACCATCCCCTCATGACTGCCCACTTCCAGGTCCCCCCTCACTCATCCCAACCGCCAGGCGGTCTGGTGCTCAACCTGCAAAACCAGTCGCCTTACGCCACCAGCCAGCCTCCCATCGCCCCATCACCCCTGACGACCGGAGGGCAGGTAGCCCACCCTACGCCTCAGAGCGTAGTAGGGAATGGTCACCTGACCCACCCACTCATGCAGCCTCCTGCTTTGCCTTCTGCTGCTCTGCCGCTCACCAATGGGCAGACGACCCCTCAGCCCCCGCCAGCCTCAGCCAATCAGGAGAGCCCAAACGGGCTACAGATGCTTCGCACAGTCGGAATGGGAAAGTACGAGTTCACAGACCCTGGGCATCCTAAAGGTAAGAAAATCCAGCAGCGAGAAAACGCAGCCTATTTGGCCTTTGGAAAATAATGAACATGCCTCTAGGTTGTCACATAAAATCTTTCCCAGGGAATAGCATTTGATGCTGGCAATGAAAGAGAGCCACAAAACATGCTGGTGGGATGCTGTTAAAATAATACCCCAGAAACACCAGCCTCTGGAATCAAAGTACTTCCAAGGTGGTGAATTTCAATCATTCAGCAATACCAAATGTCCCTTAAACAGTGCTTCTGTCCTCGGGAACGTTTGCTCTGCCTTCTGAGAGCCTCGTGCTGTGAAGACTTGACTGGTTTCATAGCAATAAATTGTTGTTTGCACAAGATAACCTTGGACTAGGCTCTGTCAGACCAGAAACAGATGTTCAGTATTCCCTGAGCAATTTTCGCATTTAATGAAGCTTTTAATCTAGGTTTAGATTGGCTTTCTAAACTCATTTGATTTTTTTATGAGATCTATAAAATGTGTGCAATTTACTTTCCACAATGAAGCAACTTGCAATTGTCTTTTAAGATACAAACAGACCAATTAAAGTAGACAATAAAGATATATCTTGAATTTAAGTGGACAGCTAATGCACAACTAATAGAAATAATTTTAAGCTTTGTTGCGCTCCTGACCAAAGATATGTGATGTTCTGTTACCACTGCCATGCTAACATTTCCACATTATATTTATTGTTGCATGTAAATATGATCAAGATACTGCATCTAAACAATGATATAGGCCTTTTTTGCTTTATCAAAGATGACTACACTTTTTGGTGATGATAAAAAAATAAATTACATTTTGTGGAAGATTAACCCATTATTTAGCGTCATAACAGGCTAATCACAGATCCTCGTCTATGTGTTAAATTACGTTCAAGGTCAGAGGAGCAAGATTTCAAGTATTGTGCTATGCAGCAGACTTTGAAGGACCATTCTAGAGACCATTCTCATAGGATAGGCTCTCGTTCACTGCCTTTTCCTTTTGGTCCCTTTCAACTCATAAGAGCCCTTGTGGTGGAGGTGACTGAGAGGTCTAGGGTGCTATGGGGTTTTAGAGCCGTGTCCCCTGCAGAGAGTGCTTTCTGAAGGAGCCTGGATCATTCACAGCTCAGCACACAGCCATGGTGGCGTGAGAAGTGTCCCTCTTTCCTTTTTAATATGATTGTGGTGTGGCTAAGGGCAGCAGGCTGAAAAGGTTAGCTCTGATAGCATTGTGCTGACAGAGGAGAAAGCAGAGAGTGCCATAGCTGCCTTTGAGGAAAGCAGGTCTGATGGCTGCTCCTGTCTTGACAAGGATTTACACCATATGTACACCTTTCAAGCATTACAAAGCATAGAACTGGGCTTCATCAATGTGGACTGCATAATATGTTGTTGGCTAATCTATTGTTTTCTAATAACAGAAATTATTATTATTATTATTATTATTATTATTATTATTATTATAACTTACTGGATAACACCACTATCCATGGTGTTCATGGGCTACTATTGTACTATTGTCAGGATAAGAACTGATGTGTCTGAATTTAATCAGAAGTTTGGAATCTTTTAAAATTAATATTTTTTGTTGTCTAAATGAGGCAACAAATGGTACTTTTAGACATATTTTGGTGTTGATAAGTATTTTGGCAACAACAAAAAGTTATTGAAGGATAAATAATATTCTGTAATTGTCTTTTTTTTAAAAGTCATCTGCCTCAAGAATACTCAGTTAACCGTTCCTGGTGCTGGTATTTAAATACTGAAAACACTATTTGGGTATTCCGGTTTCATCACAGGAAGATGTAGAAAATATACATTATTCATTTCAGCCTTAGTTCCTTTATTTTTATGCAATTTTTTTCTATGCCCATAGTCAATAGGATATCTGTTCATTACCTCTTGCAGATGCTAAAACTACTCAGAATGCACACCTTCCACTTAAGATACGATTGTGACTTTTGAGATACAATACATTATGGATATTAATTTCCTATCATTTTTTTGTAATTATATGAACTTGTGAAATTATATTAGAGCCATTTTATGCATTGATCTGCCACCGTATTGGTTTCAAACTTATAAACAGTGATTCTAAGCTTTGAATGGAAGTGTATGTCATGTCTATTTAAAATCATGATCAATTATCCATCTTTAGAGTTTCAACATGCGCTTCATAATGTGAATTATAATAACTTAAAAAGCAAATTACTAGTTTTTGATGTAATATTAGCTATAACGTAATGCTAATTATCAGCTATCGTTATCGGCCCAAAAATTCTAAATCAGTGCATCCCTAAGTCTAACACTGAATTGTGGAAGTTGGGATGATGGTATTTTACAGCTGCCTGTCTGTTTTTTTAGCTTTTATTGTTTGACCTTCACAGTCTGGAGGTATTTGTCTGTCTTTTTGCCAGTGATAATGTGTTTAAAATAAAAAGGACAAATGCTCGCTCGCAGACATATACACACAGAGTTTGATTCACTCCGTGGCTTTTAAGAGAGCAATTTATCATCAGCCCACATCAACAAGTGAGAGAGAGAGAAAGAGCAAGGGAGAGTGAGCAAGCGTGCCGATTTGTGCGTTTGTGTGTTCGTATTTAGTCCTTTGAAAGGACCAAATGTCCGTGTGATGATAGAAAAACATAAGTCTGCACATGAGAGGACCTTACAAGAAAACCTTTTTTTCACCAGAAATACAAAAAAACTAAAAGAGCCAAATATTTTTTTATTACATCATTATTAAACACGGTATTACACAAGTCACATAAGACAAGAATACAAACGTGTTTGATTGAAGTTTTTAAAGACATACCAGGTCACAAATTACATCCAGAGACAACAGCTGCTGCCATTTTGGCAGGAGGAAAGCTGGATGCCTTGCTTTTGAAGCAGCACCTTGGGGTGGAGGGACAGTCAGTGTATCCAGCACTTTGGATCTCTGAGGCTGTAACCTCGTTGTGAGTCAGGTCATAGTGTTATGGACGAATGCATGCTGGGTTGTGTGGACACAGAGACAAACACAGAGTATTCACAGCAGGGTCTTCGTCAGGAGGACTGAACAGCCTCAGGCCATGCAGCGTATATTGATGCCTTAACACCACTGAGAGAGATATATGGTGAAAAAGGTGGCTGTAGATCACCCCATATATATGCTGTCTTGCTGTTCACCTTGTAAATGGATGTTAATAAGGAGAGACTGAGAAGTGGTGCCATTTGACAGCTCCACAGGGATAAGCCTGTGATGGATGGTACGACATTACTTATTGAAAAAAACTACTCTTAGCATGCGGAAATCGATCCCGAGTAGCATAACGTTCACTTTATAATCTGGCTTTGTCTGTGAAATCTACCACATCAAATACTAAGGTTTGTGAGAAGCTCCCTTGTTGACAATATGTGTGTGTGTGTGTGTGTGTATGTGTGTGTGTGTGTATGTATGTATGTGTATGTATATATATATATATATGTATATATATCTTGTATCTTGCTGGCCAAGTATCTTCAGGACACAATAGGTCCAAAAGTTTATAGACACCTGCTTATTCGATGTTTCTTCTGAAACCAAGAATATTAATAGCAGGGTAAGCCATCTTGGCAGCTCCCCCAGGTACATCTTTTGATCGCAGCTGGAGCTTCAAATTCAAACACTGGCATGTTGATAAAGAGCTGCAAGCTTGAGGCAATGGCGGAAAGTGACGGTTGCTAAGCAGTGATTAAAAGTCTGAGAAAAGAAGACAAAGCTTTGGTCAGTTGGTCTACACCTCACACTTTCAGAAATGATGCAGAGAGCATAGATTGATTTTGATTGGCCATAAAACAATGACAGCATTCACAGAATCACATATCATTTTTTTTTTTAAATGTAGCTTATTATTCTTCTCCCATTTGTTTGGGTAGGCCTGTAATAGCTCTGCCTTCTTGTGGCTATACTCCTGCAGTAGGAGGTTTGTTCCTTTTTGCTGCAGTAAGAGTCTTTACTCTTCTGGAAAGGCTTTACATTAGATGTTGGAACATTAATGTAAGGATTTGATTACAGCTTTGGCATTGAGTATAGTGATCTTAGGCTCATGTGCGGCTGGTCCAGAGTGTCCCAATCTGTTGGCGATGCTTTCGTATGAAGTTTATACAAGCTGATGCAAGTGAATACATGTATCCGCAACTGGTGCACCCTAAAGTACATATCTGTTTCCAAAAAGTTGAGATGCGATGCAAAATATAAATAAAAACTGAATGCAATGATGTGCAAATTATTTAAACTCTTTAGTTAATTGGAAATAGTACAAAAACAGCATAAAAAATGTTGAAACTGAGAAATTTTACTGTTTTACTGTTGATGGTGTTGTCATCAACATGTTTGAAAAAGTTTGGACAGGGGCAACAAAAGACTGGTAAAGTTGTGTAATGCTAGAAAAACAAAAGAAGGCAGGAATTTACCACTCTATGAAAGACTGTGTGGGGAAATAGTGCAGCAATTTAAGAATAACGTTTCTTGATGTAAAATAGCAAAGAACTTGGACATTTTGTCATCTATGTTGCATAATATCATTTATAGATTCAGAGAATGCAGAGGAATCTCTGTATGCAAGGGACAAGGCCGAAAACCTATACTGGCCTGTCATGATCTTTGTGCCCTCAGGCGGCACGGCATTAAAAACAGACATGAGTCTGTAGTGGAAATTACTGCATGGGCTCAGGAACGCTTCTGACAGTTTGTCATCTACAAATGCAAGTTAAAACTCCACCATGCGAAAGAAAGATGTATGTAAACAAGATCTAGAAATGCTGCCAGCTTCTCTGGGCCCGAACTTATTTAAGATGGACTGAGGAGAAGTGGAAAAGTGTTCTGTGGTCCGACAAATTAAAATCCTTTTTAAATCATGGGCACTGTGTCCTCTTGGATAAAGAGAAGAGGCACCACCCAGTTTGTTATAAGCGCATAGTTTGAAAGCCAGTGTCCATGATGATGTAGAGGTGCGTTAGTAGCTTGGATGGCTTCCACGCCTAT